CTGATATACTCCTGTTCCTGTTTTACTTCTGAGACTTCAAGTAATACCATATAATGTGTTTGCATAATCTTAGATAATGTACTCATTTTCTCTGTTACAAACTTACCTCAGATAAATGGCACAAAGTGCATTTTGGTTAGCGTGTATAATTGAAGAGAAATATGTAGAATTCTAACATGATTAAAAATCAGCATACAAATTTGTTTTTGCCTATGTAATTATTTTGATCATACAAATAATTATTTTTGACATTCAAGTGTTGGGACATGTATAACTGCTAATATCACTGAATCATTTGATTCATAGTAAAATTGCTAGAATCTTTCAGCATTTTTTTGGGCATGGATAGGGTATCAGTTTTCTCTGGCATTTGGGCCACCTTTTAGTGGTTGTGGGTGAGACTTTATGTTGTTTAAACTCATCAAAATGGGTTTTGAATTTATCTTTTAATTTGTAGGGATAATGTAGGGTTGAGATGGAAAGAATATTTCCTTCCTGGTTAGAATTTGATGCTCTGAGAACTGTCTTGTCTATATGAATTACTGCACGTTTATTTGCGATAGGCTGAGGCAAGGCACAATGTGGCCTAAGGTTGGATTGTTTTCATCATCACCCTGTCCTCCCATTTTCAAATATGTGAAAGGAAATTAATTACAAATGCCCTGCCACAATTCTTCAATGTTCTTTCTATGTTAAAAAGTCTGTAATTTGCATAATATAAACTGCTAGATTATTTTATGGAATCAACATCTTGAGCTAAGTTATTAAATCTTAGGCTCAGATTATTAAATGCTAGAAACATGTACTGACAGGAAGAATCAAGCATATCATGCCCAATCCATTTTGCATGAACAAATCAAATTTAACATTTGAATTATATTGTCTCGCAGATAAAAGCCACCTGCAAAATTTTGAGGGATGCATGAAAGTACTTCATGCTGTAGAAGTTGTTATAAGGTGTGATAAAGTACTTAGTTGGGATTGAGCAAATCCCAAGTCCTTAAACTAGATTAGGGGGGGTTAAAATTCAGATACCTCCTAAAAAAAAAAAAGAAAAACCAAAACTTGATTACAGAGGAGGTAGGTTCTCCAGGTAAATTGGAAATAAGAGGATCTCCCAAACCCGAGGCCTGGAGGTTAAATACACTACCTTTGAATTCAATTGCCTAGTAAATAAAAGACTCTTACAAAATTTTGTAGGATATAAGTACTTCCTGCTGCAAATTTTGTTTTAAGGTGTGATAAAGTGCTTGAAAATGTATGAAAGTTATATCAAATAATAGCACTTCTTATATTTTATTTCCTTAATTATATCCTTAAAACACATGACAAATTTCAATACATATCACTTATCTAGTTTGTCATGCTATCTGCAAAAGTGAAAATCTGACCCAATATTAATTTCATATCAATATAAATTGTGATTCTATACCACCAAAAGCACGTACTAGATGGAAGATGAGTAGTAGACTGCAAAAGTCTTAATCAAAAGATTTGGATATTTATGTTATAAAACATCACTTAATTAAATTTTCTCCAAACATTTTTATATCTATTTATGATATTACTGTGAAGAATTTGGTGCTAGTGGATTGAAAAATATCAATCGGCGAATGAACGGCCTCTTCTTTATTATTAGAAGGTTTCTCTTAATATAATGATTTGTGTTTTATAGTCTAATATAATATCAAGTCTATAAAATACTGTTTTGTACTACTAATTACAATTTCATTTT